TAAGAAACAATAACGATGAGTACTTAAGAGATACAAAAGTAGCAACCACAGAGAAAGGGCAGGAGAGCAGCTGGCTTTACTGTCCTAGCTGAGGGGCATTCTCCTGAAAAGAGCAGAGGTATCCCGAGATTTGGGCTGGGGGAAGGGGCTGTGCACAGTTCCTGGCTCTCTTGGTGGAATTGCTGCTTACTGGGGCGGGGGGAATTCGCTGCCACTGCTGGAGCCCAGTCCGGTCCTGCTTCTTCTGCCATAGGTGAGCCTTTGCTCGTGAGAACAGCCACTGAACTGGGACCTTATTGACACCCTACATCACTGAGAAAGGGATTTCACCATCTCTTCCGGTGCCTCAGGGCACCTGGGATCCTGAGCCCTTTCCCCCTCCCCCGGAGCTTCTCCATGCTGTGTTCAGAAGTCCAGCTGCCACTAGCCAGGCCCCTGCAGTTTCTTTACCCCTGCTCTGGGTTTTTTTGCTACACTGTAGCTCCGCACCCCTTGCCTGCCCAGATGCCCTGTGGTTCCATCTACAGCTGTGGCATTTCTGATACATCTCCTCTACCACTCCAGGACTTTGCTCATCCCTGCTCCGAAGCGTGCTGCTCCTGAGATCCCTGTTACAGCTCCTTCCACCATCCAGATGGACACTGAGACCAACTGCACGCTGTGAGTTTGTAGAGGAAGCAGCTTTCCCATCCCTTCTGCTGGCCCAGCCGCCATCACCGCCTGAGGGAGCCGCGGCCGCGCCACAGCGCCCCCTGCAGGCGCGGGGGAATCCTGGCAGCGCCTGCCCGGCCGGGAGCCAGCAGCGCCCCTGGCGGCCGGGAGCGGAACTGCAGCCAAGGGGAAGGTGCCGCAGCCCAGAGCGGCTGGGGCTGGCTTTGGCTTCTGCTCCTCGGGGCTGCCGCGCCCGCTGCTGCCTTGCTTTGCTTTACATACACACACTGGGAAAGAACTGCTGCTCCTGTCCCGTAACTTGCCTGAAAGCCCCGTCATTTCAAAGTTATAATAATTCAGAGGGAATTGGGTCACAGAATCACAGAATGAACTAGCTTGGAAAAGACCTTTGAAATCAAGTCCAACCTATGACCTAACCTAACACATCCTCATCAATTAAACCATGGCACTGAGTGCCACATCCAGTCTTTTTTTAAACACATCCAGGGATGGTGACTCCACCACCTTCCTGGGAAGATGATTCCATTGCCCAATGACTCTTTCAGTGAAGAATTTTTTTCTGACATCTAACCTCAACTTCTCCTGGTGCAGCTTAACACTTTGTCCTCTCGTTCTGTCAGTTGCTGCCAGTGAGACCGACCCCCACCTGGCTACAACCACCTTTCAAGAAGTTGTAAAGAGTGATAAAGTCACCTCCGAGTCTCCTTTTCTCCAGGCTAAACAACCCAGCTCCCTCAGCTGTTCCTCACAGGGTTTGTGTTCCAAGCCCGTCACCAGCGTCATTGCCTCCTCTGGACATGCTCAAATGTCTCAACATCCTTCACAAACTGAGGGGCAAGGACTGGACACAGAACTCAAGGTGTGGCCTCACCAGTCCCGAGTGCAGGGGAAGAATGACCTCCCTGCTCCTGCTGGCCATACTATTCCTGATCCAGGCCAGGATGCCGTTGGCCTTCTTGGCACCAGGGCACAGGGCTGGCTCACGTTCAGATGGATGTCACCAGTGCCCCCAGGTCCCCTTCTGCCTGGAGACTGTCCAGCCACTCTGTCCCAAGCCTGTAGCACTGCAGGGGGTTATTGTAGTCAAAGTGCAGGACTTGGCACTTGGATTTGTTAAACTTTGTGTTGTTTGACTTGGCTCATCTATCCAGCCTGTCCAGGTCCCTTTGCAGAGCCCTCCTACCCTCCAGCAGACTGACACATGCTCCCAGCTTAGTGCCATCAGCAAATTTAGTGATGGTGGACTCAATCTCCTTGTCCATATCATCAGTGAAGATATTGAAAGGCACAGACCCCTGAGGGACACCATTGGTGACTGGCCACCAGCTGGATGCAGCACTGTTCACCACCACACTCTGGCCATCCAGCCAGTTCTTAGCCCAGCAAAGAGGGCTCCTGTCCAATCTGTGGGCTGCCCAGATTTCCAAGAGCGTGCTGTGGGAGACAGTGTCAAAGGCCTGTCCAGACTGATGTCCAGGTAGACAACATCCACAGCCTTTCCTGCATCTACCAGGTGGGTCATCTGGTCATAAAAGACCTCTTATGGTCAAACATGACCTACCCCTCCTAAATCCATGCTGGCTGGGTCTGATACCCTGGCCATCCTGTAGGTGCTGTGTGATAGCACAGTCTCCATTCCAAGGAAAGTTCCTGCCTTCCTTGGCAGACACCTGTCTTTCAAACCAAGACAACACGGTGGCCCAAGCTGTCTGTGGTGGTACTACGCACAGTTCTGCACTGCTGTTAGATATGCTTACAGCCATACAGGAGCTTTACACTAAAGACATCCTGCTTATGTCTTAAAGACAGCCACACGTGCATTAGGCAGGAAAAAAGGCCAAGTGTCCCTCTAAGACTTGTGTCTAAGGACTAGAAATTGCCAGAGAAATTAATTACTTCTACTAATCAACTTCAAAAGCCTATTTGAATCTATTAGTTTTAACTTTCTAATCCAAAATATGTTTATTGCTCCCAGTTAATTGGAGGTTAGAGTGTGCTTTCTTCTGAAATATCGATGGGCTAAAAGACTATTTATTACACCCAATTAAATGAATATTATAGAGAAATGCCTCCCTCTTATCACTGAATCATTTCAGGAAAGTTGTATATTTTGCTATATAGAAGGACAGGCAAGATGATCACAAGGATTATCCAGCCTTGGAGTAATTCATTAGAAGAAAGAGGTGTACATCAGAGAGATTGACATGCACATTTGGGCTGGTGACAGAAACTGGTAATGCTAATGAAGAAGGAATTAGTGGAGTAAATCCAATTCAAGCAAGGAGAGGAAGGCAGCAGGAGTACGACTGTGGTAAAGGACACTGTGCCCCTAAGATCCTTTCCCACTTCACCATGGCGAAGCATCATCTTAGACCAAAGGTCCTTCTAGAGTCACCTCCTCTACACAGATGGACCCTTCCCTCCTTAGGGTTCCATAGAAACTTATAACGTAGGATACATTCAACTATTGGAGCACCCTGAACTACAGAAATCATCATCCATAACTTCTAATCAACACCTTTGACAACCAGGCTCTCCAAGGTGAAATCTCTTCTATCCCCCCCACTAAGAGAGGACTTGTATCTGTCTTTGCCAAAGTTGCTGCACCAACAATTTTGGCCAGTTTTCTTACGGTAACAAGCTTTAGAATTCATGAAGATAATTTTTCCAGAACTTGTAAGGATGTAATTCACTGGAGTGAAGAGTGGTCCATGCTAATGACATACAACTGACCAAACCAGAGGCTGAACTGTCTCCCTGCTCTCAGCCTGCCTCTGTACTTCCCAGGGAGCAACAGCACTGCGCATTTTCAGAGAGCTGCAATTAAATAAGGAAACAGAGATGGGACAGAATAGAAAGCTAAAGAAACACACAGCTCAATTTCATTCCTAATGGAACGTGCACTGCTAAAGCAGCATCTATTTCAGTGTATTCACACAGGAAAGTTGTTAATGTAGCAATTTTTGTGGATACAGAATTTTACAATCGGGACATTTGAGTCCTTTTTAAAAATTAAGAGTATGTTAATCTGTTAGAGAAGATAATACAGAGACCAGATTTCATTTACAGGATATGTTGTAATTTAGTTCTGTGGTGATTTAGATGAGTCAAAAGTATCTTAAAATATGTCTGAAACTCCATTTGCAAACCTCACAGAGTTCAAACCAATTTAATTTAATAAACTGGTCATTGCTCTTCTTTAAATGTCATTATATTTAACATTTCTGCTTTGTTTCCTGTAGCATTAATCTCAGTTATTAACAGTCAGCAGCCAAACTCAAGATGAAAGAAATTTTTTTACCATGAGTTAATGCATTTCACATTCTGATAATTCTTTCTTCATTCCTGCTGTTTTAAACAAAACTAGATAGAAGCACCAATTTTGCCTTTTACTTATAACTGCTGGCTGATAAAACAGAAACACATCCTAGGAGTACTTCATTATGTTATCTGCCCCCGGTTGTTTTCAAGACGATTAATGATTTGTTCACCAAAGCTATATAATGACTACAATAGTTCTTTGATATTCCTAAACAACACCCATCTCTCTAATTTCCAGAAGTCAACTGTATAGACATGACTATGCTGATTGCTGTAAAGTTGCTTACAGACAAACAAGCTTTACAGCTTAATAAAGGGCTACTGAAGAACCACTGATTTGTATTTTATCTCACTTGCATTTGTCTCTATTACTTCTTGTTTGTTTAAAATAAGCATTTTTAATTGATGGCTGCAACCCCTAAAGCTTTGTTTCATGAATCTTTAACATATTCAAAGGCATATAAGTACAGAATTTCCTGGTGTTGGCTGTTTGAACCTCCAGTTTCCTTCCTTTGTTCCTTTTATCATATCAGATCATGGCAAATCAGTAGACAGCAGCATTTTAGGAAGTATCTTTGAATTTTTTTAAATACAACTATATTTTCATATTTACTGTGCACAAGCTTCCCATCACTCCCCACTTCATGATTCGGCAGCAGTGCAGATTATACTGAAGAGGTGGGACCAGACCTCATTCTTCCCAACAAGATCCACAGGTTCTGATCTTCCACACCTTCTTTCACCTTCTCAATACTCCCTCTGCTTCAGCCTCAGACTTTAAGCAAGTTGCCAGAGTCATTGCTATGAGTAGATGGTCTGAGAGGCAGGTTGCAGACCGGTAAGCATGGCCATCACCTGCATGGCTGTGTGGTGCAGCAGGCAGCCTGCGGCTCAAGGAACTGGCTTGGCTGAGGAGATGGTGCAGCAGCAACCAGCAGAGGCTAAATCATACTGCAGAGAAGTTGTGCACCAGAAAGCACTGCACCAAGCAAAAAGAGAAAAACCAGTTCTCACCCCAAACGGTTTATTTCTGTAACACAAGAGGTGGATACAAACAGATGGGGAAGGAGGAGGGAATGAGAAGACACTCTGATCAGATCATCAGCACCCAAAGTGCTGTCAAGACTCTGGGAGGCAACCTGCCAAAAACAAATTTTAATGAGATTTTTAAGGGGGTGGATGCTCATTAATTTTAGACAAAAATTTTAACATTAAGGGCTTACAAATCCAGTTCAGTTCAGAGAAGAAAACGTCATGCTACTGACTAAGAGGAACAGGATTGCCTCTCTGAAGTGGGCACCAAGCAGCACCTGTTGGCATAATGGTGCAGAGAGTTACCAGACAGTGCAACCTGCAAACCCAGTACCCACATGCCTGTGCTGGCCTTCTTCAAAGGACTCTGGACAGCCCTGATACCACCTCACCCTCACATCCACATCTCGGGGAGCAAAACAACTACCCAGGCCAGGGGGACATTGCAGAGCTACCTGATTTCCAAAGTGTATCACAGATAGCTCCCTGATAACTTTCCTTTATTCCTGTTGCTGTTCTATAGGCCAGTTCAAACAGCTCCAGGGCAGAGACTGGGGTTTTGTCACATGATTTTGGGAGTCAAATTTTCCAGATATATCACTGCCTTGGGTGCCAACTTTCAGTTTGAAAAGTGATGCTTACAAACTTAGTTCCCTTCAAAGACTGGAGGCATAATAGACACCTAGATCTCTTTCAGAAAACGAGATCTGGAGTTTATTTTATTTTTAAATAAAGGTTTCCACTAGACTTTCAGAAGATCAGGACTTTATAGAACCTCAGGTCCTTCAAATATAGAATCTGTTGATTTAGAATATGAGTAAATGTTAAGATTCTTTTTCAACTGCAGTTTTCAAATATAATTAAGAAAATTTTTTATTATAAATCTAGAGAGATAGCTATTTTTTTTTCTTTTTCTGTTGAACACAAGGTCATTGCTACACATAAAGAAGCAAGATAGATTTGGGGCACTGTTTGCTTAAGGGCTAATTCTTATTCCAAATAACAATTAACAGGAGATCAAAAAAAGGGTGAGGGTGAACAGAGTAAAGCAATTAAATGATAAAATATAAATGGAAAATGAGAAGCATTTGTAGCCAAATGAACATACACCAAGTGACCAATAGTTTCAGGGGATTAGACTTTCATGATAATAATTACATATTCATAATCAGTATACATAATCATAATCAATATTCAGTTGAAATGAAATAAGAGAACACACAACCCTCCCAGAATGGACATTCAGTTTAGATAAATTGCACTATGCAGAAACTTGGTACTAATGAATGCCCATTTGCAAGGTGGTTTTGCTACCTCTACTAGCCTGAACATCATTTTTGAGCACAGTTAAGATCAAACATGGTTTGACCTGAGAATTTTGCAGCTCTGAAAATTCTTGGGAAAAGAGGTCTTTATTAGACATGGATACAGATATACTTTTTTCCATGGAAATTAATTCCTTTTCAAGCCTAGCACACAGGCTCAGGTTTACACAGTACAGCTCAGAGCAAGCAGATCCATCTTAGGTTCATAACGCTCTCATTTTAACAGAAGTGCCCTGGAATTTGCTTTAGAAGCCTGTTCCCCACAATGACTCTGTGACTGACACTTTTAATTCTAGATTGATCACAAGCAGAGGGCTGTTTTCTTCCTTAAACTAAATATAAACTGCATCCTTACCATAGTATTCATTCATCCTCTTGACAGCTCTGCTCTAGAAAGAAGTGCTGCAGTCAGCTCAGCTGTATCTATTTCACTGGAAACTCCTTCAGGGAAACACCCACACACACAGCTCCAAGATTCACTGGACCTCACAGACTAAATAAATAAATAAATAAATAAATTTGGATGTTAGCTGTTTAAGGAAAATAAAAGTGCTACAGAAAGTGGTATAAGTGGTTCATTAGACAAACTCACTCCTCTTATGTCAGAAAAGAATTGGAGGCATCTTTGCACTTGTGTTTGGGAGGAGGTTAAACTACCTGCCAAGACTGTTTGTCACTGAACACCAGAAATACTCCAATTCTACCTGAACAGAAGATGTCCATGGCATGATTTCATCCTGCTTAGAGCAGGAACTAGAAGCATTGGTCCATATTTGGGATGAGACCTGAAATACATCAACATGAGAGATAAAATTGTAAATTTCAAAAATGCCTCTGAGAGCCTCTCACTCGCTACTGACAGATGTTTCTCGATACAGCTCCAGCTCACTGGGTACCTTGTGATGCACAGCAAAGAACCAAGCACCACAGAGAACCCAAGCTAGGGGTGAATGAAGGCATTAGGCAGGTACAAACTACAGCTCTTCTGAGAAGAGTTTCTGAACCCAGAACTGTCTTTTTTCCTAATAGATTATTCCTTTATGAAAAAAAATGTATCAGCCTAAAAGTCCAAGCTTTTTATCAAAATGCTAGTTTCCTAGACATTTTTCAGTCACTTTCAAGGGTGGGAGAAGACAGTAAGAGCCTATTCACACCATGATTTTAAATGTAGTGCCCTTCAGCCACTCTCAGCTGAGGTAAGGCTATAATTAGTCTATACTGCAGCTAAGAAGGAGAGTCCACATAGCTGCTAAGTACTTTTCATCGGAGGGAAAGTAACATCTAAATGCCTACAAAATGACAGACTGCATTTTGTGAGCATACTGAGAACCTACAGATGGTTTGTGGTACAACAGAGTAAGCAACTCAAACCCAAACTGGATCAAATCCGCTGTTCATTCATTCTAGTAGAAAACAGAAAACTTATTTAGTGGTTGAAGGTGGAAACAGAAGCAGGAACCTACTGCTACTATCTGTTGTCAGCAGCAGGCAGAGGCTGGAGCAGGAGCTTGGCAAAGGATGCTCCAGGCGGGGACAAGGTGGCAGACACAGGTACGAGAAACACTGTCTTAATGAAACCCAAAATAACTCCAGTACTTTTCATGTAAGAACACTATCAAATATAAAATTTAAAAAATGTATAATATTCATTCTTGTGATGTTCTATGACATCCTGCCCTGTTCCTGGCACTTGTTTGCATATGTCTCATCAGAGCAGACTGGGGCATGACACTCTGATGCATCATTAGAAAGGACAAAGTCCACTGAGTACAAAAATATCACCAGCACAAGATATGTCCTCTCTCTCTTCTTGATCAAATGACAGAAAAAGTGGAGCTTTGTTTTTTCATCATTTTGGACCAAGAGAAGGAAAACTATAGAGACAATCCATTACATCATTAAAAGTAATTTTATAGGAACATAATATAATGCAGAAAGTGTTACAAAAGAGTGCAGATTTTGGGAAAGACTGAGGAGTGTGGTGGAGGAGTACAAGAGATGTATACATGTCAGCTGTCCAGGTAAGTTATGTGTGGTGCCATTTCTTCACAAAGAATCTCTTATCTTTCCCTCCATGTCAAACCATATACATGCCATCTTACCTCTGAGCTTGCCCCTTCTCTTCTCCTCAGTCAGTCTTCCTAGACCTCTTCAGAGAGGTGCTCATGGTGCTTACTAAACTCATAGCAACTTCTATTTTCTATCCCTTGTTTGCTCTTTCCTTGAAGTTCCTTTCAGCTGTTTTTGGCATTTTCTAGTCTCTCCTCTTAGAACACTAGCATGATTCAGTCATTCCCATTTTAAAGCACCTAACCTTCAACTATAATTGGGTCTCCCACTTCATTTCCTAGTACACTTCTTGCCTATTTCTATCCCTCACTGGCATTTTTCTGAACTTGTTCTAATCAAGATGAATGACAGTCTTAATCAGGTCACAGAAACACCACTCTGCTCTCACTGCTATGTCCAATACTTGCATCATACATGATCATGCTGATACTCTTGAAGTTTCATCTTTTAGCAGTCCTTCTTCTCCTCTCACTTTTTGAGGTAAAGCTTTGACATTGTCTTAGGTAGATAATCCTCACAAATTCTGGCTAGGCTCCACAGACATGATTACTTTGGCCTAAATTTTTCTCTCTCATAGCACTTTCCCAGCTGCAAGCTCACAGTTTGTCAGCAGAGAGAGGATCTGAGTCAGAGATCCATCCCTCCACCCTTTGGGTCAATAAAATAAATTTATCTGCATTCAGAAGTGTTTGGCCAGCTTTGGCTCTTGTCTGAACACTGGCATAATTTATTCAAGCACGGGGTGATTATATTCAGAAATAAAAAACAAGGCTCTTAACTACAGATAAATGGTGTGGTAGTAATTTTACAAGAATTACAAAAATACCAAGAAAAAATTGCTGATGGAATAAGCAGGAGTGTGAATCAGCACCTGAGTGATAGCAAATTTTCAGAAAATCTTGAGGTCTGCTAGTGGGAGGGAATAAGAGCTAATAGGAGGGAATAAGAGCTAGTAGGAGGTTGCAAGGCAGGACTATTCTCAACATTTCAGTTCCAGCCTTAGCAGGAGACAAAATTATCCAGTGCCTCAATGTACAATTTCCTGTGCATCGTAATATAAAACCATTGAACAAAATCTTTCCTACTTGACAGTCACTTTAATAAAAAGTACAACTTCAGAAAAACCCATCATCTTAATTTGTGCAGAAAACAAGTCTTAAGATGTGTTTCAGTGGCTTAACTGAAAGATCAAAAGCAAAACAAAAAGCATCATGACAGAGTTAAAAACTGCTCAGGCTATGAAGCCTCCTACAATGAGTGTTTCATCCTCACCTGGAGCAGAAGCTGTCCACTCTGGGGGAGTGGACAAAAATCAAAGGAGCCAAAAATTCATTGCCAACACATCCCTAACCATGGAATGATAGAAAAATAATTTAAGACACAGCTTCTCTGACTCTGCAAAGTAAAGGAAGTTCTCTTTATTAGACTTAGAAAAATACACAGATACCTGTACTTTTGTTAAGCACTCCTATATCAAAACTCAGATGAAATGGGTCTTGTGAAGATCTACAATGATGGAAAACCCTTTTAATCCATTTCCTGATGTTATTAGAGAAAATGGATAACTGAAACTGCATCTCTATGTTCTAGAAAGCACCAAGAACAATTAAAAAGTCTGGAACTGTAAGGTAATAATCTCAAAAAATCAGGTTGTAACTCCAAATTAATTCATGGCAAGGTACTGGCTAGCCATTACTGGGAAGTTGTTCTTCAAAGGGCCTTCCAGAATCCAGTGTATAGAATAAAAATAACACCTATCTGTGTCTTTTGTACAACAAAATGAAGTGGCCATCACAATTTCTCTAAGAGACAGAATGTGACATGAGTACAGGACTGCAAAATAGGCACCTTCAAACTCTGATCCATGGGCAGACAGTTTTTTGCAATTTTACCTGGGAATGTACTGTGTACTTTGGGGATGACACACTGTCAGTACCAGCCTTTGCCACACTGGCATCTCCTGTAGCTAAATATGAGCTCAGAGAGGCTTCACTTTAGCCACTTGAAAGCTCACAACAAAGCAATGCCAATGATAAATAAATTATTTGTTGAATTTTCTTTTCATTTGCTAGTGCTATGGCTGCCAATCACTCCAAGCTTGGAAACATTCCTCACTTGCAATTTTAGACCAGCTTCACCACTGACAAAACAGAGCACTGATTGCATTTTGGTCTTTTTGGTTAACAGCACATCTTAATTTTCCTCAAAGATATCCCCAAAATACTTCATGCTTTCTGACCAATAGGACTATTATGAAAGATAAAAGTAATTTTGACTTGGGTTCAACAATACTCCAGATGTGAAATGAGCCAGGAACTTATATGAGACAAATACAAAACTACTAATTTAATTCAGCCACACAACAGAATACCTAGGTATCATTTATGACACATTTAATTGTTACTCACATTATATGAAGCACTAAAGATATTTATAACAGTCACTGATTCATTCCATTTCTTTTAGATTCAATGACTAAGAACATGAGAGGTTTGAAAGTGATGCAACCATCAAGATTTTAGACTTTTTTAGGAATTTGTTTTGCTAGAGGGTAGGCTATGTAAGCCTACACATTCAGTAGAAACTCCCACAAGTCAGGCTTGCGTGCAGACTCTGAAAGTCACGGTTTAAGAGTCTGAATAAAGACTGGAGCAATCACACAGACTCCCATGCTCCATTCATTACTTCCTTAGTATCGTAGCCACAGTCTAAGAATTCATATAAAGAAGCTGTCAAAGGAATTTGTGTCAATTTTCCCTTTCTTTCTTTTTCTAGCACTAGGACTCCAAGAGAAAGGACCTGAACTATATCTGAGACTACCTATAACTATATTGAGAACTCATTCCTGTTCCCATGTAAGGAGTAAGGTATTTTTAGTTGTCTTCATGGAAGCTGAGCTAGATTCAGTCCACTTTTATTTTCCTCTTCCCCTTGGTCATTTGGCAGCTCACTTAACCTCTCAGAAGCCGCCATCAGATGCTACAGGTCTATGGTGATCATCTGGGCTGACCAAAAGTTAAAGCATGGTCCAGATGCCTCTTAAACACTGACAGGCTTGGAGAATCAACCACCTCTCTAGGAAGCCTGTTTCAGTTTTTGATTACCCTCTCACCAAAGAAATGTTTCCTAATCTTGACTGAACTGTATAAACTTTGTGCTGTCCAGAGATTTAAATGTTCTGATATGCTTACACATCTGCTAGCTTTAAAATACATTTTCGAAGACACCTCAAAACACCCCTTCGAAATGCAAGAGATTTAAAGAGATCATAGCAAATTCAAAAAAATATGAACACAAAAATTCCACAGGGCAGAACACAGCCATGTTCTCAGATGCTTGTCAAGGACTTCCTAACAGCAAAAGAAAGGCAATTCAGAAGTGTAGCAACACTTCAGCACGTGAAGAACTGAAAT